TTATCCTGGATTTGTGAAAGCACGAGCTAATTTCAATGTGAAAGAAGCCATAATAAAAAGCATTTAGACTCGATGGCTTCAAGATGACATCATGCTCATGACGGATGCTAAATGTAGCAAATGTGCATATATTTTGGCTGACTCGGAAAGACCGAAAAAAACTAACATAAAGCAGAATTATATCTGAAGACATAGCATGCTGGATTACAATGGACATAAGCTACTGTTAGATGTAAGGAATAATAGCCAAAGAAGATTAATAAAACTTAAAGTCAAGAGAAAAAAAAGAGAATTAAATAGAAATAAGTCCTTTTCGAAAACCGATTAGGATACAAATAGAGTAAACAACTCACCTTCGTTGTCAACGATTAATTGACGCAATGATCTGCTGGTAGTAGTCAGCATGCGCCGAAGCCGGGCGAAGAGAAGAACTTCAATGCAATTCGGGAACTCATTACGGGCAGCTTCTGCCTCCTCTGTTGACGTGGATGAAGTGGCGAATTTATGCAACGAAATCGAATTTTCATTAATGTGTCTGTCATCCTTTAAGGAGGCAGGACGTTTCACTAAGTCATAAAAAGCAGTTTTGAAATAGAGCTGTATAGAAATAAGGAGCTCGCAAACGAATTAAGTATTTAAGTCCCTTAATAGGTATTAGTGTACCAAAGAATAAGAAATCAATAATTAAAATAAATGCTCGACTTGGGAGAAAACGATAAAGGAGTTGACTTTTGGATTGATCATTGGCCTCTGAATAGTCATTTATTCAGAATATAAAATATCATATTTTTTCTAACTCCTAGTAGTCGAAACTGATTTTGGCTTGAAGTAAGAATTAATTTTATGGATGATTGAAAAATAATTAAATGATAAATTAGAAAAAAACGACGAATGACAAAGCTAAAGTACATGAAATTAAATACCAAGCTTAGTCTATTAGATTCGAGCATAATTGATAAGAATAATGTGAAATAATTAACGAGATGTAGTGAAGTTGTTTTCAAAAATCATTCAACCTTCTAAAGCTATACAAGGCCAGTGAGAAAATGATGAGCAAGGAGAGATCGTACCTAATTTTACTGAGTTGCTATATAAAAAAAAGTTGAAAAACCAATTAATGTTTTGTGAGCAGAAATAACATGGGAGTCAATCGCCCAAATAATAAAGTATGAAGGCATGAATAAATGTCACGCCTTCGAACTAAAATAATAATATATAAAGACTAAAATGTTGTGGCCCCTGGTATAACGCAGTCCCTTTCGATTTATAGAAGTGGGTTGACCTCGTTGTCGCAACTTGGTCTTGTTGTCAGGGCGACTTAGTAGAACGCATCTAGTCCGAAGTCGTCTGCCATAGTAGTCATAATTCCCGGCATCAGACAGTGAACTTGGTACATTTTTAAACATTTTGCCGGTATTAAAGTCGGCATGATCATCCGAAGACTACGCCTAACGGATGTAGAATTCTGGGACGAGGAGCTGGACAAATTGACTAGGATATGTCTCGGCAACGGCTACCCTAGCGAAGTGATACAAAGAAGCATACAGGCCGTGAAAAGCCGATGACAGAATGGGGAATATGAAAGAACAGTAAGGGCGATGAAGACTCACCAAAGTGGATATGCCTGCCTTCCTGCGAACTAATTCAGAAACTGCGGCCAATATTGAGTAAATAGAATATTCAGGTGGCCATGAAAGAAAAATCAACACTTTACACAGGTCTACCAACGCAACACGAAAGGGCAGACAAATTTGATTGTTGAGGAACTTACCGTATATCATGCAGGGCCTGCGGGTAGAAATATATTGGTGAAACATGGAGAAAAATTAGCCCACGAATCAAGGAAGATCAAAGGCTCAGCAGGAAAATGGATACCGAAAGATCGAAACTAGCAGAAAACATCGCACGAACTGGACGGCAACAGAAAGAAGTGCCCCATACGGTTACAACACAAGGAAACGGGAGATTAAGGAGGTCATTGACATCGTTGGGGAGAAAAATCTAATGAACAGGAGATTGGAGGAAGGTAGAGTTAGGGAAAACTTTGCCTACTACCTAAGCAAACTCGAGGAAAACAAGAATAGTGCAAGACCAGCAAAAAGAAGACGCCTGGATCAGGGATCTATCACTAACCGAAGGCAAAGGGATCGTGATGAAGAAAGTGGGGAGAAAAGATTTTCAGCATTAAAGCGAAGACGTTGCCAGTCAATCATGTCCATTTCGAATAAAACAGTACAACTTTGGCGGCCTGGCAGTCAGGGAGCTAGGCAGGCGGATAAGCAAACCGTTACGGAAATTCGGCGTTATGGCCAAAATGTACTAGAAATCCACTTGAGAAGCCGCATGCGACCAGAGATAGACGTCCACAATTTGCTCAAATAACATGGGTTAAATCAAGGAGAGGACTCGTGAAAGGAAGGCCTGATATCTGCAAACATGGGAATCAGAGCTTAGGTGCTCTGCTCAATGAGGCGGAAGTGTACGTGTTTCTAGGGCCTGGAGTGAAATGCACACTTGGACTGGAGCCGAGTGAAATCAGTCTACGAGACAGAGAGGGGATCCTGGTTTGGAGGCTAGATTCGGATCAGCCAATCGAAATAGAAGGGGTCGAGTTGAATGAGGCCAGGTGTGATGATGCCACACTAGATTTGCCACAACAGGGTACACATTCTGACGAGTGGAATTTAAACAAGTGAGAAGTTGGGATAGGGCGGCAGTAGGATAAGAGGGTAGAGTAGATAGATAGGCCAGAACAGAAAGAGAAGTGCTAGCGTAACCGTTTTCGGCAGAACCTTTGTCGAGGAATTGACTTCACTTGTCTCTTTTGACGAGTTCGTAGCTTGGTGCGGAGAATGGCAAAACGGACTGATGATGCTGACAACGATGCCGGATAAAAGTTTGAGAATGTACCAAGTCCACTGTCTGATGCTGGGAATAATGAAAACTACTATGGCAGACGACTTCGGACTAGGTGCGTTCTACTAAGTCGCCCTGACAAGACCAATTAACCGTTCCGCCACATTTTCAAGAGTGCCCTTGGGTCACAGGGTAGATTTGAATTTTAAGAAAGGCAAGGCATTTTCCCAAATAAAATTCTTTGATCAGATTGCCGATGAGACAGTTATATTTGCTATAACAGTCGACTAAATTATTTATTGAGCATACTTCCATTTCGAGTGAAAGTGTTGGGTGAAGATATTCGAAGGCCAGTTCCACTAGAAGACGACGGAGGATTTCTCTTGACCAGCTGTCGATTGGCTTTACTGAAAGATTCATGCTGACGCTGTTTCCGAAGTAATCTTTTCCGATTCCGGTAAAAAGGTACTAAGCTTTCGTCCGTCATATGACGAACATCATCAGAACAAGGTATCATCGTCACAACAAGCAGGTCGTTTCGAAACTCTGCTAATAAACAAAAGATATGAAGACTAAGATGGTGTGGCCTTTTGTGTGGTCGCAGTCTCCTTTCGTTGTATACATGTTGTTTGACCTTGTTTTTGAAACTTTGTCATATTGGTAGGAAGACTTAGAAGAACGCACATAGTCCGGAGTCCATTGTATGCATGATAATTTCCAGTCGGTCCGTAGACGTGGTACATTCCCAGACGTTTCGCCGACATCATAGTCTGCATCGTTAGTGAGTTTTGCCACTTAGCACAATACTACAACTCGTCAGAGACAAATGAAGCCGGTCCTTTGACTAAACGTGGGTTAAACAGTTATGGTACCTCACCTGCTCTGGGCTATTCACATTTTCTACATCCTCCTATTACGCCTTCACTATTACAATTTTTACCGTTCTTATTTCGATGTAGTGTGGTGTGCTCCTTTGATCGGCATTCATTAAAACCCTTCACACTTCACGCTGCCGTTCTCACCCCCTTCAACCTTGTGCTGGGAATGTCTGCCATATTGTTACGCGGTCCTCCTTCTAAAGGTCTTATCACAGTCTCCCTCTTGTCTCGTAGGATCCGTCAGCTATCTCCCTGGTTCAAGTATTTCACTCGACCTCTGCCACCTTATTTGTGCTACTCGAGACGTTATTGCCCATCCCCTGCGTCTGGTTGACTAATTTGAGCTGTCTCTGAATAAGTCTCATGGTCACGCCTTTGCTACATGGACTACGTCTATGATAAGACTTACTGTCAGTCAACTAGCTCCAGTCTTCGCCACGTCTATCCTTTTTCTACCCCTAATGTCAAGTCTAGGATTTGCTATTCCCTAGTCTCTTGTGTGCTAATTCACAAATGTTGTGGTACTGCTTGCTTTGATTAGGTTCAATGTTGAACCACGTTGTAGTGTGGTGCTAAAATGGCAAGAATCACTCACAATGCTGGCGAAAATTCTGGGAATGTACCACGTTCACGGTCCGACTTTGTAAATTATCATGGATACAGTGGACTTATGACTAGGTGCGTTCCTCTAAGTCATCCTACCAATATGACCAAGTTTCGAAAACAAGGTCAAACAACTTATATACAACGATAGGAAACTGCGACCACACAAAAGGCCACACCATCTTGATCTTCATACCTTCGATTTAGCCTATCTTTATTTGTTTGATTCTGAAATGGTCCTACGTGTGGTTGATTTGCATTGCCCGTGTGTTGCGCGTATGCAATGCTCGTTGAACCAATGAGGCTTGGGAGTGAAAACAAAATTTGAGGCTGATCAAGCCTCCTCTCGCTCGGTGTACTTTTGTTTTCTCTCTCTCTCTCTCTCTCTCT